CTAAACATGCTTATTTTGAGCTGTTTGATTAAAACTAGCTGCCTGGAAGTTGAACGTTGGACCTCCATGTGCTCGTTTCAGCAGAACATCCTGCAGACTCTTTGTCATGTTCCTCAAACGGTTCCTGAGCGACGTTAGCAGGGCGGCTGCCTCGACAATCCCGCCCACCGACCAGGTGATCGATGCTGTTCAGCGGTTGTCAGGATCGATGTCGGTGTCCTGAAGGGACGAGCAGCCGATAAAGTCCTAGAGATGTGTTAGCGCTACAAGCTGCAGCAGATCTTTAATTACAGACAAAACAAGAACCGAGAAACACCTACAGACACCTACAGCCAATCACAGACCGCCTCCATGAGATGATTTCAGCTTTAATGAACTTCTCAGATGGAAAATCACCTGTTGTCTGTCGAACTCTAAACAGTTTCTGGCCGTTTTTTTGGCTTCTTTTACATTTTTCCTCCAAAAAAATTTGAAAAATTGTTGAATTCTAAAAAGATTTCCAGACAGTGCGAGTTCAACTCCAATAATTCTTTGTGTTTTACAGTTTCCCGTTGATTAAAGGTGTAATTTTGAATAATTGTTTATTATAAACATTTATAAGAACAGCTGTTGCTTTCCAGGAAAAAGCTCCAAAGATTCTCACAAACATAACTAGAAAAGTTGCCCGGTGGATATTTTCAGCAGCTTGTAGAAGCTCCAGTGGAAGAGCTCCGAGTCCTTTTCAGCAGCCGGGTTCATGTTGCATTGTTTTGAGCCGCACCAACAAACCGAACAAGCTGCAGGCTTCACATTAAATCGATGCTCAGCCCGTCCAAAACAATCCGATAAAAACTCGGCCCGCCTTCAGCTACACGAGAACATCATTTACCAAAACACCAAACCAAGTGTGCGGACGGGTTTTTTGCAAACTCTTTCCTGGCGCGGCGTTTCGTCACGACTCGCGCTGGGATCGTTCGCTCTCGCTTCGTCTGCCCGTGATGTCGGCTCGTATGAATCTGGCTGCCGGTTCCGTCGGCAGATGGAGGCGGATTTAGCCAGTTAGCGGCGCCGTGTAAGCGCATGTGAAACAAAGCGAGATGGATCAAGACGGCGGCGCGTTAATGAAAGCGGCGCCCGCGGGCCGACGTGGCGGCCACTCGTCTTCATGCTGCACACTTTGGAAGCACGATGAGCGACGGCTGGCTCGGAGGCAAAAACCCGTTTCCTCATCGGATCGGCTGTAACGAGCGGCGGCACCTGAACAAACGGCGTCCGACGTGCTCAGAACAGACGGATTGACGAATCGTATTTCTGCAACAAACTGTCCTCTTTGTTTTTGCTTCTATTTTTTGAATCTAAAACCGGAACCCGTACCTGCTTCATTCCACCAGACGAGATAAAGACATCACGATTTCACGTGTTAACTCGACGGGCTGTTCGGCGTAAATATGACGAGGTTTCCTTAGACGACATTCATTATGGTTGTTTTTCTACCACACATGGCTGAGCGAGGCTTCAGTCTCACAGAACACCTCCAGTCGGCCACTTAAGGCTCGGTTTCACCTCAGCCGCGGGGATTCACTCGAGAGCGTCGCAAAACATCCCTTAAGAGCTTTTCTTAGTTAAGAAAAAATGCACCGAAGGAGATTTTACACCACGAAATCCTGCAGTTTCCATGGAGACCGTTGGCTTGTGATACCTGCTGTCGTCTCACGAGGACGGCTTAAAGATGGTGAAGTGAAAAAATAAGGTGGATGAAAAGAAGACGCTCGGTCAGAGGAGGCAGAGAAACCACAAAGTAGGAAGAACTGATCAGTAAATAAGAGCTCAGAGAAAACAACAGACGTGGAAGGAAATGAAAATTAACTCCAGAGTCACGGCGTTTTGTTTCCAGACTTCGCTGACTAAGGTCTTCTGGGTAAATAGTAAAACTTTCTAAACTGTTCTGTTTTGCTCCTGGAACCATTTTTCTTCACTGTGGACTCATTTTTCATGGCAACATAAAGTCCTGCAGCTCCACGGAAACAGAATGAAGAAGGAGAGAGAACTTAGAAACGTCATTTAGTTAGAATGAAACGAGCCTCCGACTCTGATTACTCATTAACACAAACATCAGCGTTCAGGAAAAAAAAGGCTCTGATCTGCTCATCAGATGTAGGAAGATGTTCCAAGTAATCGTAGCTTTTGGTTGCGGAGACAAGTGCAGAAATTTTTATTTTTTTACAGAATCCTTTCGTGCTAACAGGTTGTTTTTGGTGAATATTTTAGTTCGAGGACTGTCGGAAAGTTAAAAATCTGATGATTCTCTCAGTTTTTACAGTTTCTGGACTAACTGACTTTAAATAACTCGTTTTACATTATAAACCTTAACTCTGACTTTAACAGGAACTTTAAGGTGTTGATAATAATAATAATGATAATAATAATTATTATAATAATATTATAATGATAATAATGTTATTTAAAGAGTATTTAGATTTTTTTCTCTTTTAAAGTCAACATGTAATTTAATATTTTTTGTGTGGTTTTACTTTAACAAAACAAGTAAAATCTAAAAATGATTTACCATTTCTGGATCTCTCATTTGTCCAATTTTTCCTTCAAATTACTGCAAATATGTGCAGAACAGTCGTGTTTTTGACAGATTTAAATATATAAAAACAGTATAATTTTAAAAAATAATAAAGGATATTTGATGAAAATATTAGTTGCAGTTTTGACCACTTTTTAAATATATAAATTTTTTAAATTTAACACAGAAAGGACAATCTGTAAAAAAACATTAAAAAATATATATATTTTGCCTTTTTTAAAATCCTTAATAAACATAATTATTCCTTCAACTAATGACAAATATATATATATATTTTTGTTATTTAAATACAGTAAAAATTGTGTAATTTTATGGTATGAGTCGCTATTTATTAAATACAGAGTGTTTAAAATGGACAGTCAATACAATATTAGACTTTTTTTATTATTATTATTATTTTACATGTAAACTATGACTTCCTTTCTGTGATTTTATTTACTAGCTGCTATTTAACCCAACAAGGAAAAGCTGTGAAACTGCAGTAAATCGTTGTTCCCATTTACAACTATTAAGACATGTTGATTGTTTTCAGTGTAACGTGACCCAACATCTCAACATCTCCGGTACGTCCACTAACTCTCTGCCTCTGTGTTGGTCCGGCTCTGCCTTCACCAACACCACCGATCCATTTCACATCTCCTGGAGAATTAACCGGAGTGATTAATATTCCTCGGAAACATTTCTTTATGTAAACGTGGCATTTAAATGTCAGAAACGCCGGCTAATCAGTGTGGTATTTCAACAGATCTTCCCTCTCTGCCGCCGCTGTCCGCCCCTCCGTCTTCATCCATTCCTGCCGACGCTCTTTTGTTTTTCCGTCGGCTGCTCGCTCTCTGCCCGGAAACAACAACGAGACGGGAAAAAAAATCTGCTTCTGTGGCTGCAGTTTGCTTCCCCTTTTTCTCCTGCTCATATCACAACGCTACAACACCCCGATAATAGCGCGACACCGACAACGTTCGGCCAATCGAGCGGGAGCCGGCGAGAGTGCGACCTCACGCCGAGAGGAACAATTGATGGCACGCCTCCATCCCGAGATACAGACAGCGTGATGGTTATTTATAGCGCTGACATCTGAATGGCGCGCACACAACAGCACACAATAGCACACAATAGCACACAATAGCACACCCACGTGCACGCTACACACATCTGAACACACACAGCTGAGCACAAAGACAAACAAAACAAAACAAAATAAGAAGAAGAAGCCAGACAGCGGAGGACGGAGGAGAGCATCCATCAGATATCATTACTGCCTCCAACAGCAACATGTGTGCGTCTGTGTTGTGCGTCTGTGTTGTGTGTCTGTGTTGTGTGTCTGTGTTGTGCGTCATTAGCAGTAATTGCGGGTTGCAGCAGAAGCTCTTTGCAGTCATTTAGTCTGATTGACCGACTGATTGTGATTAATATCAGACGCTTTATCTCAAGAAAGTGCACCTGTCCAGTAGCTCGTCGCTGTTTCACTTTGATCATCGATAAGTTGGTCGACGTGATCTCATCCGACCAAAACCCCGTCGGTCCACCAGTCGCTGGTGTTGCTTTCAGAAGCAGAAAGGCATTAAATCAACAGCCTTCCAGGGTTAATCCGTTATTCATGGCAGCAGGAAGAGCAAACTACCCGTAGAAACCTGTCCAACCTGCCACAAGCTGCCAACTTAATTCTGCATTTCAAACAAACTGATGGTCAAAAAGTCAAGTTTAAAATTTGCAAACCACATCTAACGTCTCTGTGGTTTATTCCTCAGTAGTACTGAGATGTTATTTAACTTGTCATGTGGGTCGTCTTACGGTGTCCTGAACCTTCGTTTATGTTCCAACTGGACGTCAACCGACTACCAGATCCAATATTTACCCGTTTTCCGATTCTCAGTTTTCTTTGTCCTACCAACAGCGTCTGATTGGTTCCACATCACAACCAAAAATCGATTAAACGATCAATGTTAAAAAGTTCTCCTTTAAGAAAATGTAGAATTAAGTCGTGGAGGAGTTGGAGGTGCTAATCGGTACTTTCCATGATGAACCCGTTGCTGAATTCTGTTTCCATTGGATCCAACAGGTCGGCTGCAACTCTGAGTCGAAACAACGACCAGATGGTGGTTACTGGACTCAACAGAACCATGGGGGTGTGTATAGAGAACCATACGTTGTAGATGTTCGAGAGCAGACCAGTGCTGGACGAGAAGATCAAGAGGACGGTCTGAAATGGTTTAACCAACTGGCTGATCAGAAACGTCTACCCTGGAGTTAGTGCTCGTTTCTCCCCCGAAGGAGGTTCTACAGGGACGGGTTCTCACAGTCGGAACATGAACCAACAGTGAAGAAGCAGCCTCGACATCCCCACGATGACGTAAACCGTCAGCTGAGTTAATGTAAGAGCAACTAAAACAGCAGGAATCGAGAAAACAGCAACAACAAGCTGCAAGACCCGTCCTGGTAGAACCTCTTAGTGGTACCGTCATCATGGTAGAACCTCTTAGTGGTACCGTCGTCATGGTAGGACCTCTTAGTGGTACCGTCGTCATGGTAGAACCTCTTAGTGGAACCGTCGTCATGGTAGAACCTCTTAGTGGTACTGTCGTCATGGTAGGAACTTCTGAAGGTTCCCCGAAAGACTGCTGGGTTGGTCTTGATTAAGCAGTCGTCCATCTAACATCACTACAACAGCGTTAAATTCACAACATACTGTAGAATAACAAACTTCCACTGCTGTGTTTCCTGAAGTTAGGAACTCATGTTTGTTGTTGTTTTGGTGTGTTGGAACCAAACATGGCCGCTCCGCTGGATCTTGTCCATAAACACTATGTTCAGGTTCATGCCGTAAGCAGCAGCTCCACTCGTAGATCCGGACCAGCTGAGGCCCACGGGGCTGCCGGTGGAGTCGCTCTGTGGAACATTTACTGATAACATGCTGATTTCCTCTCCTGCGACGAATCGATCGTCTGAGGAGCGGATTGAAGATTCTCTTTGGTTCACTTCATCCCGACTCCTGTTTTCCTCTGATGTTCTTATCTGACCCTCATTAATCAAACTATTTAGCGGCGAATTTACTGCCTTTGATGGAAACCTCGTCCATCTGTTTGTCTGCCTGCCGCCGCCGCCTCTCAAAGCTTCCTCTCTCCTCTACCTGTCTGTCAGATTGGCCTTTTTGTTTGTTTGTTTGTGTGTCGGATCCGTCCAGACCAAAGAAACTCTGACATTATCAGAGCAGAGCAGAAAACGCTCAGATTTGTCTCAATACGTTTCATCTGCTCCGATGCTTTGATCTAAACCGGACCGACGCCGACAGAACTCGGAGATGAAGCTCAATCTGATTTCTGGTGCATCTTTTAGGAAACGTTCCGGATAGATTTTGCGGCGAATCGTGCAGTCGTACGATTCGTGCAAACCGTCCTTGCTTCGTCACCAAACCTCCCCTCCGTCTCACTCGGAGCTCCTCAGTTTTCCTCTTTTTTCTGCTCCACCGTTCGTCTCGTCTCCCCATCATCGTCCTCGGCTGTCCTCCCCTCACCTCCCTTCCTTCCTCCCTTCCTCCCTCCTAATCGGTTTCTGTGTCACTATTCAACGCACACACCCACAAATGCAGCCCCTCAGTCGATCTGTAAATGAATTATCAGCCCACCGATGGTTTTTCCGTCCTCTTATATCTTAATGGCCGATCTATGCAGGCAGTGCTTTTATGAGAAGTGTGCGTTTGCATGTGCGTGCGGCGCTTAGCTCGTCTGCTGCATGATAAATAGGAAGTATTACGAGGCACCTCTATGGTACCCAGGGGCTCCGGCTTTGTGCATGTGTGCGTGTTTAATGCCTGTTTTTTTCTTGTCTGGTTTTTTGTGCGCGTGCGAACAAAGTAATGGACGCGCTCGGTGTGTTTTGTGTGTGTTTTGTATCTTGAGTGTGTGCGGGTGAAGAAGTGGAAATGACAGCAGATAAACCCACAGATGGACGCCCAGCGGGCTAAGAAACATTAAGGCTGCACAAACACATTAACGCACACACTCCCAGTCGGAGGATGGTAAGTAGATATCCGCCGCTCCCTCAATAACCTCACGGGAGCCGAATGAAATCAACCACATCATTGGTGGTTGATGTGTGCAGCTGAGAGGGTGGTGTGTAATTTCTGTTTTTGGTAAAAAAAGATCACACCGAGGAGGTAAATAATAGAAAACTCCAACAGGAGAGCAGGAGAAATCGATAACAAAATAAGTTGTCAGTTCGTTTTTGACGTTATCGACTGTTTTCCAGGCTCACTTGGAGACATTGCTGCTCGCTGGAGCGTACGCTATGAACAGGGACCCACCCCTTCATTAAGTGCATGTTTGCAAGAGAATAAATCTGATTTATTTGGCAGGAGGCCCAACATTGTCCCTTGAGGGACCCCTTCTTCTACATCTGATGGGTTTGATTTGAAAAATAA